TTTCTTCTCTGAATCAAAATTTTTAGCACTTGTCTCATTTCTTGTCTTACTGTCATATTTCCAAATAAGGTGACTATAATTTCAATGGAGATAATAGAAATTGATTTTTTCCAATATTCTCTGTTTTCTAAGATACTTCCTATGTTGTATGTTACTCATTTATCTTTTATGTATATTCTTTTCTTTTTCTTTTTTCTTGGATTTAGTTTTGTGCTGTGTAGGTCTGTTTAGCAGTTCTTATATAGGGACAGAACACTTTTCGTCTCTAAATGAGGCCAATAGCCTTTTGAAAGTTAATGTGGGTAGAAGTAGAGGAATGGATTGAAACAGTGGGCAGCTTTTATCCAGATATTTTGTATAGAATATTTTATTACAAACTCATTTACTTTCTTTGACTTATTTCAGTTTTTGTTGATTTCTTGAATTTTTTTCCTCATATTGTGTGATCATCTGAGTTCATTGTACATGAAGCTAAAAGCAGGAAAAATGGGCCCACTAATCTATTAAGGTGATCTACAGAGATTAACTATGTAAAGTTTGTTTTACTTAAAAAGAAAAGAAAATCTATGATACTTAGCATAGTAAATGTTTTAAAATAACAATTAAAAATCCAGGGTGGCCTCAGTTTTATGAGAAAAAAGAAATAAAATTTACAAATAAAAATTATGTATAAAAGTTAACATTTATTTATGATGAAAAAATAAATTTCAATAAATTACAAATTATAAAAAGCTGTCAACTACTGGTAAAATTAAAAAACCCAGAAGACAACTATTTTAATTAAAGTGAAATTACAAACCCAGAAGGCAATGATTTTATTTTAATTAAATAATTTTCTGACAGACTTCTTGCTATTTCTTTCCTACTTCAAACTTTGATTACCCCTTTAGATATCAATGATTTATTATATTTTAAAGAATCTAGAGAGCAATTGAGTCTTTTGATTGAAATTTATTTTTACATTACTGATCATTTAAAATATTCTTTTAGCTTCACAACTTACTATTGTAATGTCTAATAAATGTCATGCTATTGCTGTCAAATATGGGTAAAAGTTGTATTACAAGTTTATTTATGACAGGTTAGAGTTGGATAATTGTTTCACAGTCTAGCTTCTCATGCTATGCATTTGAAACCCTTTTTTCTTGCAAATCCCACAAAAACATGCACAGCATATTGCTAGAAGGGGCCCATGCAAGAAATGGCTCTGATTTTTAAGCTTCATTAACATGTTGGTTAATCACATCTGAATAAAAGGCAGACAGGCCAGCCACAGTGGCTCAAGATTGTAAACCCAGCATTTTGGGAGGCGGAGGTTGGCGGATCACGAGGTCAAGAGATCAAGACCACCCTGGCCAACATGGTGAATCCCCGTCTCTACTAAAAATGCAAAAATTAGCTGGGCATGGTGGCGAGCACCTGTAGTCCCAGCTACTCGGGAGGCTGAGACAGGAGAATCGCTTGAGCTCAGGAGACAGAGTTGCAGTGAGCCCAAATCACACCACTGCACTCCACCCTGGTGACACAGCAGGACTCCGTTTCAAAAAGAAAAAAAAAAAAAAGCAGACATGAGAAAGAAGTGCCCTTTTTTGACTTAATATTTGAAAACCAATTCAAGCCAGCAGTTAATACTATAGAAAAATAAAAAATCATCATTACAACTGGTATTCGGATGAGAAGTGCCCTTTTTTGACTTAAAATTTGAAAACCATTTTAAGCATGCAGTAAATATTACAGAAGAATAAAAAAGTCGTCATTACAACTAGTATTTTGATAAGCAGATTTCCTAAGAATCCACAAGATGGACTTTTAAGAAAAAATTCTGTCCAATGTTGCATTTTGCAAATTGAATAATATTTCATTGAGTTTATGACAATTTTCATAATTTTATATGAGAGCTATTTACAATGAACTATTGTTGACAATAGGAGCAGGGAACCATGGGAACCACCCTTTATTAAACATAGAAGAGCAGAACTTTTCAGAGAAGAAAATACTCTTTCATTTTTGACTGAATTTGAGTTATTAAACCTCTAACCTTCCTATCAACTGAGCTTTAAATTTTATTATTTTTCATAAAAATAAAACTCTCTAATGTATCTCCTCCATTTATTTTTATTTTACTTAAAGTGCCTGAAAGGGATGACAAATGTTGTATTCATTTTTTTTTTTTGTTTTGTTTATTCTTTCAGTACTAGCTTCACAATGGTCACTTAATATTGCTTATCTGATGGTGTGATCCTTCCACACTCATTTTCCCTTAGTTTATCTTTCATGCTTTCTCTACTCATGTATCATATGACTTCATGTAGCCTCCCAGCTACGTGAAGTAGTTTTGTTTCCTTTGTTGATTATTTATTGTTTGAGATGTTACTAATTTTAAGAAATTTGGAAGAAATGAATGTGCAAAGAAATTGTTAAATGGCATGGACAAATATGCCCCCAGAAGCAGTCACTTTTTCTGTTTTATTTTCTTACAATGTTTTTGCTATAAATTTTGCATTGTAGAAATCATTCTATGTATAAGACTTGTGTTTGTTTCTATCAAATTCAAATCTATGCCTAATTTAAAAATCAAACTAAGGTAAAACATTTTTAATGAAATCCAGCATTTTCCTTTAGTCAGACAATTTTAACTCTAGCTCCAGTTTCCAGCGCCATTTGCAACCTTTGGCTGTTTTTTTGTGTGTGTGTGTGTGTTTGGTGTTTACGTCCATATTTCTAAAACAAAGAGAACCATATGCAACTATCAATTTCTCTATTTTGGCATTATGTAATAAATCTTTGGTCTGGCTATTTTGGTAAGATTTATCTCCTAATGTCACTCTCATTTCCTCTTACATTAATAATTTGATATAATGGCAGCACAATCTTTGTCCAATCAATATTTATCTTTATTATATAAATGTATTAGGGTTCTCCAGAGGGACAGAATAGGATACAATATATATGTAAGGGAGTTTATTAAGGAGAATTCGCTCACACAATCCCAAGGTGAAGTCCCACAATAGACCGTCTCCAAGATGAGAAAGAAAGAAGCCAGTAGTGGCTCAGTCTGAGTCTAGAAGCCTCAAAAGTAAGGAAGCCAAAGTGCAGACTGCAGTCTGTGGCCAAAGGCACAGGAGTCCCCAGCAAACCACTGGTGTAAGTCCAAGAGTTCAAAGGCAGAAGAACCTGGAGTCTTGATGTCCCAGAAGACTCGGCAAGCAAGGTTATTCCACCTCCTCTGACGACTTTTGCCCTAGCAACACTGGCATCCCATTGGATGGTGCCCACTCACATTGAGGGAGAGTCTTCCTCATCCAGTCCACTGACTCAAATGTCAGTCCCTTCTGGTAACACCTTCACAGACACACGCAGGAACAATAATTTACCAACTGTCTAAGCATCCTTCGATTTAATCAAGTTGACATCTAATATTAACCATCCCAATAAGTATCTTTACTGAACAAAGGACCAACTGTGGTTAATTTCCTTCTTGTATAACATTAAAAATTACTTAAACAAATTTACAGGAAAAAAGTAGCCTCATCGAAAAGTGGGTGAAGGATATGAACAAAAACTTCTCAAAAGGAGACATTTATGCAGCCAGCAAATGTATGAAAAAAAGCTCATCATCACTGGTCATAAGATAAATGCAAATTAAAACCACATTGAGATATCATCTCACGCCAGCTAAAATGGCGATCATTAAAAAGTCAGCAGATAACAGATGCTGGAGAGGATGTGGAGACATGGGAATGTTTTTATACTGTTGGTGGGAGTGTAATTAGTTCAACCATTGTTGAAGACAGTGTGGTGAGTCCTCAAGGATCTAGAACTAGAAATACCATTTGACTCAGCAATCCCATTACTGAGCATATACCCAAAGGATTATAAATCATTCTGTTATAAAGACACATGTACACATATGTTTATTGTGGCACTGTTCACAATAGCAAAGACTCGGAACCAACCCAAATGCCCATCAATGGTAGACTAGATAAAGAAAATGTGGTATATATACACCATGGAATGCTATGCAGCCATAAAAAGGATGAGTTCATGTCCTTTGTGGTGACATGGATGAATCTGGAAACCATCATTCTCAGCAAACTGACACAAGAACAGAAAACCAAACACTGCATGTTCTCACTCATAAGTGGGTGTTGAACAATGAGAACACATGGACACAGAGAGGGGAACATCACACACCATGGCCTGTTAGGGGGTGAGGTGCTAGGGGAGGGATAGCATTAGGAGAAATACCTAATGTAGATGACAGAGTGATGAATGCAGCAAACCACCATGGCATATATATACCAATGTAGCAAACCTGCGTGTTCTACACATGTACCCCAGAAATTAAAGTATAATTAAAAAATAGTTTCTTCTTTCCTATTTGCTTGATTTCTGTAGACTTGTAAGATTCATTGAAATACTCCACTCATTTATCATACTACAATTGATATTTTTAATTTTTCAAAACCTTCAGCACAAATTATTTATTAGAACGACTTCTTGTTTTCTAGAGCCCTGTCTGTAACCTGCTTTCCTTCTCTCATCTGTACAATTATATAGTAAAAATTTTCCAATGTCACTAATATTTTTATTTTTTAATGATTTCCATTTATGTCTGAAATAAAAAAAATTTATGTTGCCGTATCTTTTCTTCTGTAATGTCTCTTTTTTTTTTTAAATTTAGGTTCTGGGGTACATGTGCAGGTTATGCAGCATTGTTGCATAGGTGCATACTATATCCAGCATTATTTCTCCCCATGTTATCCCTCCCCACCCTTCGCACCCCCCACTGTCCCTCCCCTAGCCCCTTCCGCAACTGTCCCCAGTGTGTGATGCTCCTCTCCCTGAGTCCGTGTGTTCTCCTTGTTCAACACCCGCCTATGAGTGAGAACATGCGGTATTTGGTTTTCTGTTCTTGTGTCAGTTTGCTGAGAATGTTGGTTTCCAGATACATCCGTGTCCCTACAAAGGACATGAACTCATCGGTTTTTTTTGGCTGTGTAGTATTCCATGGTGTATATGTGCCACATTTTCTTTGTCCAGTCTATCATTGATGGGCATTTGGGTTGGTTCCAGGTCTTTGCTATTGTAAACAGGGCTTCAATGAACATACGTGTACATGTGTCTTTATAGTAAAACAATTTATAGTTCTTTGGGAATATACCCAGTAATGGGATTGCTGGGTCAAATGGAATTTCTATTTGTAGATCCTTGAGAAATCGCCACACTATCTTCCACAATGGTTGAACTAATTTACACTCCCACCAACTGTGTAAGAGTGTTTCTATTTCTCCACATCCTCTCCTGCGTCTGTTGTCTCCAGATTTTTTGATGATCATCATTCTAACTGGAATGAGATGTTGTCTCACTGTGGTTTTGATTTGCATTTCTCTAATGACCGATGATGATGAGAATTTTTTCAAATGTTTGTTGGCCTCATATATGTCTTCCTTTGAAAAGTGTCTGTTCATATCCATCACCCACATTTGAATGGGTTTGCTTGTGTTTTTCTTGTAAATCTGCTTTAGTTTTTTGTAGATTCTGGATATTAGCCCTTTGTCAGATGGGTAGACTGCAAATATTTTTTCCATTCTGTTGGTTGCCAGTTCAGTCTAATGAGATATATATATACATATATATATACACACACACACACACACACACACACACACACACACACACACACATATATATATATATATTTTTTTTCCTGTACAGAAGCTCTGAATTTTAATTAGATCCCATTTATCTATCTTGGCTTTTGTTGCCATTACTTTTGGTGTTTGTCATGGAGTCCCTGCCTATATCTATATCCTGGATGGTTTTGCCTACGTTTTCTTCTAGTGTTTTTATGGTGTTAGGTTTTATGTTTAAATCTTTAATCCACCTGGAGTTAATTTTAGTGTAAGGTGACAGGAAGGAGTCCAGTTTCTGCTTTCTGCACACTGCTAGCTAGTTTCCCCAACACCATTTATTGAACATGGAGTCTTTTCCCCATTGCTTATTTTTGTCAGGTTTGTCAAAGACCAGTTGGTTGTAGATATGTGGTGTTGCTTCTGAGGCCTCTGTTCTGTTCCATTGGTCTATGTCTCTGTTTTGGTACTGGTACCATGCTGTTTTGATTACTGTAGCCTTGTAGTATAGTTTGAAGTTGGGAAGTGTGATGCCTCTGGCTTTGTTCTTTTTGCTTAGGATTGTCTTGGCTATGTGGGCTCTCCTGTGATTCCATATGGAGTTTAAAGTGTTTTTTTTTTTTTTTTCAGTTCTGTGAAGAAGGTCATTGGTAGCATGATAGGGATAACATTGAATCTATAAATTACTTTGGGCAGTATGGCCAATTTAAAGATATTGATTCTTCCTAACCATGAGCATGGAATGTTTCTCCATCTGTTTGTGTCGTCTCTTATTTCATTGAGCAGTGGTTTGTAGTTCTCCTTGAAGAGGTCCTTTACATCCTTTGTTAGTTGTATTCCTGGGTATTTTATTCTCTTTGTAGCAATTGTGAATGGCAGTCCATTCTTGATTTGGTTCTCTGTTTGTCTGTTATTGGTATACACGAATACTGGATTTCTGCACATTGATTTTGTATCGTGAGAACTTTGCTGAAGTTGCTTATCAGTTTGAGAAGATTTTGGGCTGAGACAATGGGGTCTTCCAAATATACAATCATGTCATCTGCAAATAGAGACAGTTTGACTTACTCCTTTCCTAATTGAATACCCTTTATTTCTTTTTCTTGCCTGATTTCTATGTCTAGAACTTCCAAAACCATATTGAATAGGACTGGTAATAGAGGGCATCCTTGTCTACTGCCTGATTTCAAAGGGAATTCTTCCACCATTTGCCTGTTTAGTATGATATTGGCTGTAGGTTTGTCATATATGGCTTTTATCATTTTATGATATGTTCCGTTGATACCTAGTTTATTGAGAGTTTTTAGCATGAAGTGCTGTTGAATTTTGTCGAAGTCCTTTTCTGCATCTATTGAGATAATCATGTGAATTTTGTCTTTGGTTCCATTTATGTGATGGATTACATTTACGGACTTGCTTATGTTGAACCAACCTTGCATCTCCGGGATAAAGCCTACTTGATCATGATGAATAAGCTTTTTGATGTGCTGTTGCATTCGATTTGCCAGTATTTTATGGAAGATTTTTGCATTAATGTTCATCATGGATATTGGCCTGAAGTTTTCTTTTTTAGTTGAGCCTCTGCCTGGTTTTGGTATCAGGATAATAATGTTGGTCTCATGAAATGAGTTAGGGAGGATTCCCTCTTTTTGTATTGTTTTATATAGCTTCAGAAGGAATGGGACTAGCTCTTCTTTGTACATCTGGTAGAATTCAGCTGTGAACCCATCTAGACCTGGACTTTTTGGTCGGGAGGCTATTGATTGCTGCCTCTACTTCAGCCCTTGTTATTGGTCTATTCAGGGTTTCAGCTTCCTCTTGGTTTAGTCTTGGTGTAGTCAAAGTGTCCAGGAATTTATCCATTTCTTACTGGTTTACTGGTTTATGTGCATAGAGCCGTTTGTAGTAATCTCTGATGATAGTTTGTATTTCTGTATGATCAGTGGTGATATCCCCTTTATCTTTGTTTATTGAAACTATTTGATTCTTCTTTCTTTTCTTTTTTATTAGTCTGGCTAGCAGTCTGTCTATTTTGTTGATCTTTTCAAAAAACCAGCTCCTGGATTTATTGATTTTTTGAAGGGTGCTTTGTGTTTCTACCACCTTCAGTTCTGCTCTGATCTTAGTTATTTCTTGTCTTCTGCTAGCTTTTGAGTTTTTTTTAATATTCCTCCTCTAGCTGTTTCAATTTTGATGATAGGGTGTCAATCTTAGATTTTTCCTTGTTTCTCATGAGGTAATTTATTGCTATAAATTTCCCTCTTGATACTGCTTTAAAGGTGTCCTAGAGATTCTGGTAGGTTGTGTCTTCATTCTGATAGTTTGTTTTCTACATTTGAAAATGTTTAGTTTAGAATAAGCGCATTATCCAATTATAGAGGTACAATTTTCCAAACTTCCAGAAACTCATCAAATGAACAGACAATGTCAAAACTACTGTGTCTGATACCAAAATGCTTCAGTATTTGTAATTTTTCAAGTCAGAAGCTGATGTTCCTGGTAAAAGTTTTTACAGTTATTCTATAATATCTTCTTTGAATGCTAAGCATGACCGATATTTTTAAAAATTGTGAGTAAGCTTTGCAGTTACTGTGAACTATTGTCTCTTGGAGGAAATATTTTGTTTAAGAATTGATATGATTAAATGAATTAATATATGCAAAAAAAATCTTTATTTTTGCCTTCATTTCATTGTTTATCCAGTTGACACTCAGAAGCAAGTTGTTCAGTTTCCAAGTGGTTATGTAGATTTCAGTGTGTTTCTTAATCCTGAGTTCTAATCTAATTGCACTGCGGTCTGATAGACTGTTATGATTTCCGTTCTTTTGCATTTGCTGAGGAGTGTTTTGTTTCCAGTGATATGGTCAATTTTTGAGTAAGTGTGATGTGGTGCAGAGAAAAATGTATATTCTGTGGATTTGGGGTGGAGTGTTCTGTTTATATCTATTAGATCCACTTGGTCCAGCTCTGCATTCAAGTCCTGGATGTCCTTGTTAATGTTCTGTCTCGTTGATCTGTCTAATATTGACAGTGGAGTGTTGAAGTCTCCCACTATTATTGTGTGGGAGTTTAAATCTCATTTTAGGTCATTAAGAACTTGCTTTATGTATCTGGTTGCTACTGTGTTGGGTGTGTATATATTTAGATTGTTAGCTCTTCTTGTTGGAATAATCCTTTTACCATTATATAATGCCCTTCTTAGTCTCTTTTTATCTCTGTTGGTTTGATGTCTGTTTTATCAGAGACTAGGATTGCAACCTCTGCTTTTCTTTGTTCTCCATTTGCTTGGTAAATCTTCTTCCATCCCTTTATTTTGAGTCTATGTGTGTCTTTGTATGTGAGATGGGTTTCCTGAATACAACACACCAATGGGTTTTGGCTTTTTTTCCAGTTTGCCAATCTGTGTCTTTTGACTGGGGCATTTAGACCATTTACATTCAATGTTAATATTGTTATGTGTGAATTTGATCCTGTCATTTTGTTACGGCTGGTTTTCTTGCCCATTAGCTGTCTCATTTTATTCATTGCATTTTTGGTCCTTGCCATTTGGTGTCCTTTTGCAGTGGCTGGTATTTGTTCCTTTCCATGCTTAGTGTTTCTTTCAGAAGCTCTTGTAGGGCAGGTCTGGTGATGATGAAATCTCTCAGTAATTGCTTGTCCATAAAGATTTTATTTCTTCTTCACTTATGAAGCTTAATTTGGCTGGATATGAGATTCTGGGTTGAAATTTCTTTTTTTTAAGGATGTTGAATATTGGCCTCCACTCTCTTCTGGCTTGTAGGGTTTCTGCCAAGAGATCTGCTGTGAGACTGACTGGCTTCCCTCTGTTGGTGACCTGACCTTTCTCTCTGGCTGCTCTTAGTATTTTTTCCTTCATTTCAACCCTGGTTCTGATGATTTTGTGCCTTGGGGTTGCTCTTGTTTAGGAATATCTTTGTGGAGTTCTCTGTATTTCTTAGATTTAAATGCTGGACTGCCTTGTTAGGCTTGGGATGTTCTCCTGGATAATATCCTGGAGTGTGTTTTCCAGCTTGCATTCATTCCCCCCGTCATATTCAGGTACACCAATCAAATGTAGATTAGGTCTTTTCACATGGTCCCATATTTCTTGGAGGCTTTGTTCATTTCTTGTCACTCTTTTTTCTCTTGTCTTTCCTTCTCTTTTTATTTCATTGAGTTGGTCTTCAGTCTCTGATATCCTTCCTTCCTTCCTTCTGCTTGATTGATTCGGCTATTAAAACTTGTGTTTGCTTGTTGCAGTTCTTGTGCTGTGTTTTCCAACTCCATCAAGTTGTTTATGTTCTTCTGTAAGCTGGTTATTCTAGTTAGCATTTTGTCTAACCTTTTTTTCACAGTTTTTCGTTTCTTTGCATTGTGTTAGAATATGTTCCTTTAGCTCAGAAAAGTTTGTTATTATCTACCTTCTGAAGCCTGTTTCTGTTAATTCATCGCACTGTTTCTCAGTCACGTTGTGTTCCCGTGTTGTTGAGGAGTTGTGATCCCTTGAAGGAGAAGAGGTATTCTCGTCTTTGATGGTTTTATCTTTTTTGCACTGTTTTTTTTCCCCATCTTTCTGGATTTTCCTGACTGTGAACACAGGGAGCTGCTTGATGAGGTGCTTGTCTGCCTGTGGAGGTGCTACTTGGTTTCTATGGACTCCTTCAGGTTGCTAGGTAAGCTTCCTGTGTCTTTTTTGTTCACACTGGGAGATTAGGCCCGCCTCTTC